TTTTTTGTCTTTTTGAGACAGGGTCTCCCTGTAGCCCCAGCTGTCCTGGAAGTCAATTCCAATGAAGAGAATCGTGCCTTTCTCATCCCTGTCTTCTACATTAAAAAAATTTATATATTATTTTTATTTTATGTGTATGAGTGTTATGTCAGTATGTAGGTAAGTGCACCCGTGTCATGCAATGCCCACGGAGGACAGAAGAGGCTGTCAGATTCCCTGGAACTGGAGTTACAGACAGTTGTTAGATGCCATGTGGGTGCTGGGATTTGAACCCAGGTCTTCTGCAAGAACAGTCAGTGTTCTTAACCACTGAGCCATCTCTCCAGCCCTGTATTTTAATTTTTTTCAAAAAATTTCATTTTATGTGTATCAATATTTTGCCTGTATGTAAGTGCACCCGTGTCATGCAATACCTGCAGAGGTCAGAGAAGGGCATCAGATCCCCTGGAACTGGAATTACAGATGGTTGTTAGCCACCATATGGGTGCTGGGTCCTCTGCAAGAGCAGCCAGTGCTCTTACCTGCTGTTCCATCTCTCCAGCCCCCAAAGTTTATTGTATTTAAGCCTCACATAGACCTAATGAAATGGCAGAACTAACTCCATATTTGTTCTTGCTGACTTTTGCTTTACCATGTTTTTGCCCAGCCATTCCCACTGCAGCCAGCCAGGCAGAACATCTCATACAGGCAGTTTCAGAGAGCACATTGTTTCTACAATACTGGGCAATTTACAGGTAGCCAGGTAGCACATCATCCTCCCACCAGCTGAACCAAAACTTTTTGTTAAGTGAAAACCTCTTTGTTAACTGACCTACCATTGGTCTGGTATAACTACGGTGATCTGATGTAACTGTGGGTATTGACTTTGCCCCTGGCATGATGTAATTGTGGTTTTAAGCTTTATAAACCCTGCCCTGCTTCTCTTCAGGTTTGAGAGTTCTTTTGGACATTAGCCCCCGTTTCTGATCACCAGCTATTAATAGAGGACTCCTAATTTGACCATCACTATGTGGCGCTCCTCTGTGCTTGGTATTATGCTAGGAAGGCAGGCAAGAGCTGGTTCCACTCCGCTCCAAGTGAGGAAGGTGAGCATCAAGTGGAACAAATGTTGTAAATGAGATGGCAAAGCTGGGACTGGATCCCAGAGTTTCTAACTCCTAAGGTCAACAGTCTCCCCAAGGGAAAAGTCATGATGACTGTTAGCTCAGTTATGAGGAAGGAAAGACACACAGCCTGGAAAGATAGTGAGGTCCTGTGATCCAAGTCCTGCGGCTGAACATGGCCAGGAGACCCCTGGGTTGAACACAAGGGTGTGTCGGGATTTGTACCTGGTCATCTTTGAAATGTCTGCTTCTCAGTGTTAGGTCTTTCCATCCCTATGAGCAACGCATTTGCATTTTCAGCCAGCACCCACTCCTATAGTGGCATGTGGAAAAACTTTCAATGTTCTTTTTACTATAAAGTGCTATATAGGGTTATTATTATTATTATTATTATTAAAGTACTTTGTAAACTGTCAAGTGCTAGTAAATGTCCCTTATGATTTTGACCATGATGGTGGTGATGAGGATGACGCTGATAAGTTGTTCTCTGATGGACGTGTTCATTGAGTCATCTTTTCTTTAAATAAACCTCTCCAGAATAAAGCAAATTGTAGAGTGTTTTGTATACTCTTGGTGAAGAACTTTGCTAATGTCTCTTAAAAGCACAAACAACCTTTGCTGGAATTTTCTTTCTATTATTCTACTTCCCTTTTCATTGTGGAACTCAAAAGAGACCTCTTAGGAGTTATTGGTGCACACCATACACATCCTTGATTTCATTGCTGTCCCCCAACCCCGCCAAAGCCAGGAAATCAAACAACCCACACCTCCCAGTGGGCAGATCTACTAGTTTTCTCATCATTGCAACTAAATACCCAACAGAGAAACTCAAGCAGGACATACTTATTTTGGCTCATGGTTTTGGAGAGCTTTGAGTTCACCATGGCCAAAGGGGCAACACAGGACTCACAGAGGGATGGGTTCAGTCTGTGGTGATGGAAACATGTGACAGAGCTCCTCACATGGTGGCTGGACCAGGAACTAGAGCACAGGGCTCATACCAGGACTGAGCTATAATCCCCAAAGCTCCCTGCCCCCGACCACCACTTGTGATCTATCTCTACCAAGCAGTGCCGTAAGCTGGGGACTGGCTGTTCAAATACGTGAGTCTGTGGGGGCCATTTCAGACTCTAACCATAACAGCAGGGGTTTTAGGACTAGAGGTAGGCTCTGGGAGTTATCCAGGGAAATCTGATTTCTAAGTTCTATGCCAGAGCAATTGAATCAAAATCTCAGAGGCTGGGGGAGATTAAGGAGATGTAGATTTGAAAAACTCCCAGGGAATCCTACAGTGCAGCCATGGCTCAGAACCAAGGCTCTATAATCTAAAGATCATACTTAGCTGTCTGCAAGATCTGATAGATGTAATTTGTGCATTGAAAATTCTATCTTCAGCTGGGTGTGGTGGCACCTGCCTTTAATATTAGCCCTCAGGAGGCAGAGGCAGGCGAATCTCTGTGAGATCAAGGTCAGCCTGGTCTATACAGTGAGTTCCAGGTCAAGTGGAGCTACAAGGAGACCCTGTCTCAAAAAGATTTAAAAAAAAAGTGTATCTTCAAATCCATTGTTATTCCTTCATGGAGATGATTAGACTTGTATTACTTACTTTTCTGTTGCTGTCATAAAATACCATGACCAGAAACAACTTAAGGAAGAAAGTTTTTATTGGTTTATGGTTCCAGAGGGCTAGAGTTCATAATGGCAGGGACAGCATGGCATTTGGACTGGAAAACTGGCCGATAACCTTTCCAAACACACACAGGAAGCAGAACAAGCAAGTAGATACTGGGGCAAGGCTATAAACCCCCAAAGCCCACCCCCAGTGATGTATTTCCTTCAGCAAGACAGCACCTACCTTCTAAAGGTTCCCCAACCTCCCCAAACAGCACTGCTGACTGGGGACCAAGTGTTCAGATACACGAGCCTAGGACATTTCCCATTTAAACCATCACACAGACAAACTCACTGTCTTCCCCAGGGGTGAGTTCCACCAGCTCAGTTTCCCAGTCTGTCTCAGCATCCATCCCTTGGACAGATGTCTTTGTCTCCCTTAAATTAATCATTTGCACACTGACTTCCTCTAGCCCCATGACCCACACCTCTAACTAGATTCTAAGTCCACCTCCTTACCATCTACAATCACAGATGACTCCCCACACCACCTGATGTGGAAGCTACGTATCAGATGAGGAAAGGAAGCAAACTTGGTTCAGATCTTCTGAACTCAAAATGTGTCCTAACTTACATTGTCTTGGTTATTCAAATCACTCATTAATTCAAAATTTTAATTACATCTACTTATGTGTATAAGGGTGGGGACGCCTGTGCATACCATGGCACACATGTGGAAGTCAGACAACAACTTATGGGAATCGACTATCTACTTCCACCATAGGGGACCCAGGGATCAAACTCAGGTTGTCAAGCTTGGTGGAAGATACCTTTACCCATTTCGCTGAACCATGTTGCTGGCTCTCTTTCATTATTTTTTATTTAATTTATTGTTATTGTTGGGGAAGGTAGAGGACAATTTTGTGAAGTCACTTCTCCCCTTCCTCTTTTATGTGGATCCTACTCCTGTTGTTAGGCTTGTACAGTAAGCACTTACCACTTTTACCTACTGAGCCATCTCACCTTTCTTGTTTTGAGACAGGGCAGGCCTTGAACTCATAGAAATTGGCTTTTCTCTGCTCCTGAGTGCTGGGATTAAAGATGTGTGCCACCATGCCTAGCCTCATCTTTCCATTTAAAAAAATTTTATTTATTATTATTTTTTCTTTTTTATAACTTGCTATGTAGACCAGGCTGGCCTTTAACTCACAGAGATCTACCTGCCTCTGCCTCCCTGTGCATGAGTATATTGCCTGCATGTATGTGAGTGTACCCGTGTCATGCAATACAATGGCGGTCAGAAGAGGGCTTTGGATTCCTCTGGAGCTGGAGTTAAGGATGGTCCATAGCCGTCATGTGGGTGCTGGGAATTGAACCTGGGTCCTCTGCAAGAGCAGTCAGTGCTCTTAACTGCTGAGCCATCTCTCCAGCCCCTTATTTATTATTTTTATTGTATGTACGTGAGTATATTGCCTGCATGTATGTAAGTGCACCTGTGTATGCAATGCCTGTGGAGGTCAGAAGAAGGTGTTGGATTCTCTAGAACTGGAGTTACTGATGGTTGTTAGTCACCATGTGGGTGCTGGGAACTAAACCCAAGTCCTCTGGAAGAGCAGTCAGTGATCTTAACAGCTGAGCCACCTCTCCAGTCCCACCATTTTTTATAGAATGCTTTTTGTGACCACATTCAGCCTCCTCCCTCTGAATATCTTGAAGGGCCGCCATCTTTTCAACCACCAGACACATCACCATAGAACCTCCAGTGTGACCTACATGCAGCTAAGGATGGCGCCTGATAAGCAAGCACCTCTTTAAAGCAGCACTTCCCACACCTGCCCAGTCAGACGTCTTCCCTTTGTTGGTGTCTCAGTCTCTTTAGAGAGCAAAAGGGTCCCTTCTTGCTTGCTTGCTTAGATGCCGCAAAATGTGCTCTGACAGAAAGACCGCAGTGCCATGAAGTGTTTCTTCTAAACAAGTCACTGCAGAGTGTAAAATCCATGGATTTACGGGTGTTGGCATTGGTCTGGGAAGGGATATAGGGCTACTCCAGTGGCCTCTGTACAGACTGGTCAGTTCTAGGCCTGGACTGCTATCTGCTGTGATTCATCACCTCCAGGTAGACTGTGATTAGCTGACTTCTACTTTTCCCAGATATAAACTACAAATGCAAACTCAACTTTAGACAAAATTTTTTCCCCAACAGATTCCAGCTACGAACTTTATGGCTAGATTCCCTGGTACACCAATCCTTCCTGGGAAATCTCAAGAATGGGCCTGTATGGGTATAAAATATGTGGTGTGTGGCTTGGCAGACACCTCCCTACAGTTTCTCTCTCTGCCTGGAGGAAGCTTCGGTCTCCTCAATACTAGATCCAAGAGGTCATAATCATTTGGAACTCATACAAAAGCGGCAGAGCCTATTTCCCAACCCCAGCGATACAAGGGAATGTCTTCACATCTGCACACGCCGAGATTTGGCAACTCACCTAGATGGAGCTTCTTTATCGGTGAGCTGGGAGACTGAACTTACTTCCCATGGTGCAACTGGGAGAATTAAAGGAGAAAATATAGGTAGAGCATCCAGTTACTACTCCTAATGCAATTCGTGTGACGTCCCCTCTGTTTTCTTCCCCTTCCTAGGGCATCTCCTTGGAGATCTGATGAGATTTTCTGATATCATTTTAGGACAGACCATTGTTGAATGAGAGAGAGAACATAACATAGATAAAAATGGAAGAATTGTCAGAGCCACAGAGCAAGAGCTCCCAGAATCTGGAAATTATAGCTATAAAAGGAAGTCTTCAGGGTCAGATGACACATAGTAAGATGGGAAGGTAAGTAGCCTTGAGGGATAGTCACCAAGACCAGTCAGGAGGGAAGCAGCATTAGCATTGAGACCGAATTGCTGGCAGACTAAGGAGAAAATTTTTAAGACATGTGGTTCCTGGGGCTGGAGAGATGGCTCATTGGTTAAGAGCACTGGCTGCTCTTGCAGAGGACCGGGGTTCAGTTCCCAGCACCCTCATTATGGCTAACAACCATCTGTAACTACAGTTCCAGGAGATAGGATGCATATGATGCCCTCTTCTGGCCTCCAAATGTATTGCACACTTGCACTACATACATGTAAACAAAACACATACACATAAATTTAAATAAATAAATAAATAAGTAAATAAGTAAAATGTAGTTCTCACTCCTTCTCCAATTAGTTCATCTTTCTTTTTCATGAATCCTGAGGGTGGCTAGGAAGCAATCGGTTGCCAGAAGTTAAACCTCAGGGAAATCAGTTCAGTATTTCAGAACACATCTGTCCAGCAGCTAGTAAAAAGAAAATGAATGTTGTATCCACTGCTGTCAAAGCCACCACAAACTCACACTAAATGACTAGCAGAGCAGAAGGAAAATAGGCCTAGCCTCTGTTGGTCCTCTCATAGCATCCCTAAGAGCATGTCCTCTTCTATAAGATGGAAGGGGTGTTTGACATGGATCAATGGTGTGTCTAGTTCCCAGCAACAGAAAAATCTGACTCATCAAGACTTAAACAATGAAGGGAATTTACTGGCTCATGTAAATGAAAGTTCACAAAGATTGGAAAAGCCAAGGGGCTAGTCCACAGTCCACACCACTTACCAGGACCCTATTCCCCAGGACCCTATCCTCCAGGACCCTACCCCCTCACATTTCTTGGCTGGGCTTCCTGGGTGGGGCCTCTCCTAGGCAGATTTGGGCAGATCCTTCTGTGGCTATGGAATGGTTTCCAGCAGTTTCCAGGGCTCTGTGCCTACAGTCAGATACAACAGGTAGAGAAAATATTGGTGTCAATGTTATCAACAGGTGTGCTGTAACAAACTCTAACCACACCCTTTTAGGTCATACGCCCACTTGAGCCAATCCCTGTGTCCTCTCCCACTGCTGATGGTAGACATCCCTGGATGTTCATCACCCAATCTCCTCAGGCTGCACAGGAAATCATGACAGAGAAGGAAGGAGAAGAGTCAGGCCACACATTTTCTGGGGGTGAGTAGAGCCCCAGTACAGCCATGCCCCACAATAACGATTTGGTCAAGGACAGTGTTTGCACAGTAGTGACTCCAACTGAGCGTGGTGGTATACACTTTTAATCCCAGCACTTGGGAGGCAGAGACATGTGGACCTATTTGAGTTCCAGGTTAGCCTGATCCACAATAGTAGCTCCCAAAGGTGGTTTTGTTAATTTTAAATTTTTATTTTATTTTTAGCTTATATATATGACTGTTTTACCATAGTGTATGTAAGTGCACCCATGCATGAAATGCCCGTGGAGACCAGAAGAGGGCATTGGATCCCCTAGAACTGGAGTTAGGGACAAGTGTGAGCTACCATGTGGGTGTTGGGAACCAAACCCAGGTCCTCTGCCAGAACAGCCAGTGCTCTTAACCACTGATCCGTCTCTCTACCCTCGGCTTTTAATTTTTAATATAATATTTTATCAATTCTTTGAGAATTTCACACATGCATACAATGTATTTTGCTCATATTCACCCTTCATTCTCCCCCAACTCCTCCCAGGTCCATCCCCTGCCTTCCTACCCCCAACTTCATGCCCTCTTTTTTTAAAAAATAAAGTTTTATTTATTAAATTTATTTTATGTGTATGAATATATTGTCTGCATATATGTAAGTGCACTTGTAATGTGAAATGCCCATGGAGGTCAGAGAAGGCATTAGAGTCACCTAAAACTGGAGGTACAGATGTTGTTAGCTGACACGTGGGTGCTGGGAATTGAACCTAGGTCCTCTGCAAGAGCAGCCATCTCTCCAGCCCCCAGGGGTCAAACTCTTAAGGAAAACTGACCTTCCCTCCCCGAGAAGCCATCAGCTATCTATAGCTCCTCAGCTAAGTCATGGGGTTCCAGAGTCCCCCTCCCGCCCATGCTGGAATGTGACTGGCTTGATCTTGTGCAGGTCTTATGCAGGCAGCCACAGCTGCTGTGAGCTTGAGTGCCATAGTCCTGTCATGTTCAGAAGACACTGTTTCACTTTGGCCCTTCACAACCACTGGCTCATATAATCTTTCTGTCTCCTCTTCTGAAATGGTCTCAACTCCAAAAGATTTTAATGGAGCTGAAAAATTCCTATGAGCTAGCAATATTAGCAAAAAGAATTATTCCCATGTCTGTGTTGATACTGATAAAAATAAACCTGCTGCATGGTCAGTGCTTAAAAGTATATCACATGCAATTCTGAAAAAGATGTAGTACTTTTTTATTTGTGTATGTGTGTGGTGTATAATTGAATATGTGTTCCTGTGTGTATGCAGATGTGTGGGCATGTGGAGGCCAGAGGTTGACATTGGTGATTTCCTCCATTGCTCTACGCATTCACTTTTTGAAACAGGGTCTTTCACTGAACCTGGACCTCACCGATTAGGCAAGTCTACCTGGCCAGTGAGCTCTAGGAATCCTCCTGTTTCTGCCTCCCCAGTGGTAGGATTACAGACACATGCAATCACATTCAGCTCTTTATGTGAGTGCTAGAGATCTGAACTTGGGTCCTCAAGCACTTTACTGTTCATGTATTTACCTATGGTTCACATGTTTGCCCTATTGCTCACATGTTTACCAGTGCTGCTCTTGCAGAGAACCCAGGTTCAATTCTCAGCACCCACATGGTGGCTAACACCTGTCCATAACTCCAGTTCCAGTGGAATGCAACTCCATCTTCTGGCCTCCTTGGGCATTGCATGACACAGATGCACTTACACACATGCAGGCAATACACACACACACAGACACACACACACACACAGACACACACACACACGAATAAATAAAAGATTTTTTTAAAAAGAAAGAACAAAGTAGAGTAATATAAGAAAGACAAAATGTCATGTTTTCTCTCACACATGGAATCTAGGTTTAGTAATATGCATACACAATTTAATAATATGTATATGTACATATAGATACATATAGATGACATAAGAGCAGAAAGGGGACTCAGTGGTGAGGAAGGTGAACTGCAAGGCAGGAAACCAGGACAGGAGGGTGATGGGGTAAACAAGTCAAGTACAATGGCATGTACGTATGAAAATGTCATGAGAGGCTGAGGAGATGGCTCAGTCAGTAAGATGCCCACTGCACAAGCATGAGATCCCTGGCACCCATGTAAAAAGATAGCTAAGGCATTACGTGCCAGCAATCCCAGTGCTGGGACATGGAGATGGAAGGATCCTGGGGCTTGCTGGACAGTCAGTCCAGCCAAATTGGTGAACTCCAGGCTCAGTGAGAGACTCTATCTCAAAACTAAGAAAAACAATTGAGGAAGACCCTGGAAGTTGACCTCTGTCCTCCACATGTGCACACACCCGTGCACATATACACATACACAAAAGAACATGCTATAATGTAGCTCATGATGTTGTATGCTAACAATAAAATTTAATTTAAAAAAAGAAAGGAGGCTGGGGATATAGTGTAGTCGGTAGAGCACTTGCCTAACATGAACAATACCCTGGGTTCAACTCCCAGCCCCTCATAAAAGTAGGTGGTGCACCCCATAACCCCAGCACTTGGGAGCAGGAGCACCAGAAGCTCAAGATCATCTTCAGCTGCGTAGTGAGTTCTAGGCCAGCCTGGATTACATGAGACCCCCACTGAGACAGAGATAGATGGTGGGAGTCAGGGGCGGGAGTTGAATGAAGCAGAATAGGGTGGAGGTGAGGCCCCCGAAGCATTGTGCAAAGCCTTACAAAATTAGTCTGTGAAAAAAAAAGTTGGCAAAGAGGGGAAGGTTGGAAAACCTTGCCTAGCTGACTAAAGCTGGCTGCTGGTGCTGGTGCCAGGGCACCCCAGAGTGTCTGAAGGCAGCCCAGGCTCATTAGAATACTAAACTGCACATCCCTAGGTGGGAGATTTTAAATGCTAATGAGACATAGAATGCACGAAGTTGTATGTAGAACTATGTACAACAGAGCAGAGCATGGAAAAGCTCACACGGTGTGACATTAAAGCCCCGTCCTTTGTGCAATGGTGCAATTTGAACTTCTAAACTCTCCCTTTGCTCCAGCCTACTTCCTCCCTCAGAAGCATATGTTTTTGAGACAGGGTCTCACTGTCTCTGGCTGGTCTGGAACTTGCTATGTAGACCAGACTGGACTCAAACTCAGAGATCAGCCTGCCCCTGCCTCTGCCTCCTGAGTGCTGAGATTAAAGGTGACTCCCACCACACCTGGATTATCTTTCTTAATAAACTGTCATTGATTCTGTGTATCTCTGCTCAATTCCTTGTTCTGGGACAAGAATCTGGAACCCCACCAGACATGCCCTCTGAACCCCAGATCAGTTGCTATCACTATTGAACAATGTATTGTGTTGAGCCACCTAATGCACCTGCTTTCTTCTGGTCTGTGGATTGCATCATGTAGTGACTGGCCTGTGCCACTCAGGTCACAATGCTCCCACAGTAGTGATAACATCACCCAAGGAGGGTCTCAGAATGGGTCCACATGATTAAAACAATACAGACTGTACACAGAACACACACAAATGCAGCGTCTCTGGCTGACTTAGCGATGAAGGTTTACCGCTGCCTCTGTTACTCCCAAGAGACCTGCTTGGAAATCTGGCTCTCCAGAAGACAGGGATGAAGAGGAGCCCTTTGATTCTACCTCACTCTTCTTTTGCTATTATTGAGCAAGCCACATGTGCTCCTGTCTATGGTCTCCAGCAGGCCTTGTATGGGGTTACAGCTTTCTAGAAACTAGGTGGGGGGACATCTATTTAGTATAGACATATAGGCTCCTTAAGGTAGAGTTATTGGTATCCACCCATCATTTATGAAGCTTAGCAATGCATGCACCTAGGTACCTAAATTTCTGACAAAGACCAGAGCAATGAAGCCACAGACAGCTCTGATGACTAAACGAAGCTCACTGCCCCGCAGAACTGAGGAGAAACGGAATGAAAGAAGACAAACACTTTCTTCAGATGAGTAGGGACTAGGAATTTGATTTCCCCTAAAGACACTGGTAATTAATTAAATGTTGCATTTACTTTGAAAGTCAGGTACAAAGCATTTTACACTTTCATGAAGTAGTTGAAGGCTCTCTTCTAAGAAATGGGCATAACGCCTTTAAAAAAATTATCATTTTAATGCCGGGCGTGATGGCACATGCTTTTAATTCCAGCACTTGGAAGGCAGAGGCAGGCGGATCTCTGTGAGTTTGAGGCCAGCCTGGTGAGTTTCAGGCCAGCTGGAGCTACAGGGAGACCCTGTCTCAAAAACACCTTTATTCCCAGCAGTTGGGAGGCAGAGGCAGGCAGATCTTTGTGAGTTCAAGGCCAGCCTGGTCTACATAGTGAGTTCCAGGCCAGCTGAGGGGCTACAGGGAGACCCTGTCCCCCCATATTATCATTTTTTAAATAATGCTGTGTAGCTATTACACTGTCCATGTCCATATCTTTTTTCATGTTGCAAAAGTGAAGTTGTGTTAAAGGGAGATCCCCATTCCTGCCCTCTGTCCTGCAACATTATTGGCTTCTCTGTTTCTATGAATTTGGTATTCTGGGCACCTTATCTAAGTAGAGTTATAACAGTCTGTCTCTTTTGTAACTGCCTTGTTTTATGAAGCATTATATTCTCAAGGTTCCACCATGTTATGATAATTTCCTTCTTCTTAAAGACAGAACAACAGTCCATTATATGCATATACCAAGTGACATCTATCCATTTCTGCATCAACGGACTCCAGGGTCACTTCCGTCTTTGGTACTGTGAATAAGGAACACGGGTGTGCGAACACCTCTCTGTGATCCTGCTCTCAGTTCTTTGGAGTATATGCCTATTCAAAAGAGGAATTGCTGAGTCCTGTGGAGAAACTACATATTAGGGCATGCATCATTTTGTTCTGCTTAAAGGTCTATTAAAGCAGCAAATACTCACAGACTGAAAATTCGGCAGATTTCACTTGAAACTTAACAATTGGTACTAAAGAGAAAGCCACCAGGCAAGACTTGGATAAGATCAAATGGCTTCTT